AGAGAGAGAGAGAGAGAGAGAGAGAGAGAGAGAGAGAGAGAGAGAGAGAGAGAGAGAGTCATACATGTATACTTCAATCCACTTACGGAGCACCTCCATTAGTAGAGCCCTACTTACGAGCTCTACGTTGACAACTTCCGTCATGGCTGGAGTCGCGATTTCCCGGGTTTTCTTGCCCACTTTCGCGAAGCTGTCAACTTTACGTAGTGCGGAACCTTTCTATTGTCTTCCGGACTGCAGCTGGAAGTGACAAATCTCTATTGAAGCCGGTTACCGTAGTTTATGGACTAAAAGCCGCATCCCGAATATTTGTTACAAGAAACAGACATCTAGTTTGTATTGAGATTCATTTCACCTTGGTAGTGTAAGCCGCACCGATCTATTTTGGGTGTATTATGAGTGTTCGCAGTGCGACTTATGCTCCGAAAAATTCAGTACTTTTTTGCTATTGGTCAGCGAGCAATGTTTTTTCCTCCATGAGGGGTGGCAAATATGCCTCTATTGTGGGTGTGTGTGTGTGTGTGTGGGGGGGGGGGGGGGGTTGGAGGGTGGAGGGGCGGTTGGGCCCTGGAAACTCCCTTACTTATAGTTGGGCAAGGGAGTGGGAAGGGGGGGGGGGAGGGGGCTGTTTGGCCCTGGAAGCTCCCTTACTTAGAGTTGGGAAAGGGAGTGGCACTATCAACAAAGGTACCGTATTTTCCGGAGTATAAGCCATGCTTTGTAAACAGCTTATACTCCAGTGCGGCTTATACTCCAGTGCGGCATATACTCCAGTGTGGCTTATACTCCAGTGTGGCTTATACTCCAGTGTGGCTTATACTCCAGTGTGGCTTTTACTCCAGTGTGGTTTATACTCCAGTGTGGCTTATACTCCAGTGTGGCTTATACTCCAGTTCGGCTTATACTCCAGTGCGGCATATACTCCAGTGTGGCTTATACTCCAGTGTGGCTTATACTCCAGTGTGGCTTATACTCCAGTGTGGCTTTTACTCCAGTGTGGCTTATACTCCAGTGTGGCTTATACTCCAGTGTGGCTTATACTCCAGTGTGGCTTATACTCCAGTGTGGCTTATACTCCAGTGTGGCTTATACTCCAGTGTGGCTTATACTCCAGTGCGGCGTATACTCCAGTGCGGCTTATACTCCAGTGCGGCGTATACTCCAGTGTGGCTTATACTCCAGTGTGGCTTTTACTCCAGTGTGGCTTATACTCCAGTGTGGCGTATACTCCAGTGTGGCTTATACTCCAGTGTGGCCTAGGGCATGTTCGATTGGTAGGATCGGGATCCCGATCCACCGGATCCACTGGATGCGCACCCTTTCGATTGGTCGAATCCGGATCCGGATCCTTCGGATTTGGATCCAAATGTGACCTTTGTGCGTATATGGCGGGTAAAAATCATTTTTGTACACATTGTGGTATTCACACGTGGATTGAGATAGAGTTTGTTGACGTTTTGTACGATGTGTGCGATGAGTACGACTTTCACCCTTTTGGGTGACTTGTGAGCGCCATTCTATTACTTCCTCAACATGGCAACAGTCAAGGTCCAAAATAAAGTGTTCAGTTGACTCTGAAGGATCCGACGGATCTGGGATCTGGATCTCGATCCCGATCCTTACCAATCTAACATGCCCTTTTACTCCAGTGTGGCTTATACTCCAGTGCGGCGTATACTCCAGTGTGGCTTATACTCCAGTGTGGCTTATACTCCAGTGTGGCTTTTACTCCAGTGTGATGAAGGAAAGCGTGCACACAAAGTGAATATCTGAAATGATCATGCTGGGGAGTTGCTACGCGCAGTGAGTTTCTGTCAGGGAGTGCTATTTTTATTACTCAGCTGCTCGCAAAACAAAACGGGCTAAAAACGAACAGCGGGACCACTACAACATGTGATGTAAGCTTTCGCTGTCGGCGAACCCCATAGAATGGGTATCAGGAGTTGCACTATAGCACTCTTGTGAGCTTATCTACTTTTGTTTGTACTTGTTCTTGTTGTCCATCTTTTTGTTCTCCACATGTTTTCCAGTAGAGCTGTGTTAATAGTAAAATACACTGTACTCCAGAATGTACTGTACTCTAGGTTTGGGCATAGCCTGACCCATTCCAGCTGGGGGAAACCCCTCTTGAACTGACCCATTCCAGCCGGGGGAAACCCCTCTTGAACTGACCCATTCCTGCTGGGGGAAACCCCTCCTGAACTGACTCATTCCAGCTGGGGGAAACCCCTCTTGAACTGACCCATTCCAGCTGGGGGAAACCCCTCTTGAACTGACTCATTCCAGCTGGGAGCAATCCCACTTGAACTGACTCATTCCAGCTGGGAGCAACCCCTCTGGAACTAACTCATTCAAGCTGGGGACAACTCCTCTTGAACTCACCCATTCCAGCTGGGAGCAACTCCTCTTTGACTCATTCAGGCTGGGTGCGACTCCTCTTGAATTGATTATTGTTGGCCCTGCAGGCGTGTGGATTGATGAGAACTCCACCATATCGCTGACGTGCGGTGCAGGACTGCCCCCAAGCGTCGTGGCAACCTGGACGCACGACACTGTCGCCTTGGCAACCGAGAACCGAGTGCAGGTATCGCGCGATGCGTTGACGATTGAACGCGCCGCGCCGCAAGATGCCGGTGTCTATCAGTGCGTTGCCACGGAGATTGGCCCGCAGGATGGGAGGCCAGTACAAGTAGTGAAAACGCACACTGTCTTTATTTCATGTGAGTAAGGCAAGCCAAGGCCAACAAATCGAGATTCCCGGCCAGCACCCATGTGAAATTGGTGCGCGCCGTTGAATTTTGTTATTTTATTTTAGGGGAAGTTAAGCCTAAAATCAAAATTTCACCAGTTGTAGTCTTTCTGGGTGCTGAGTCGAATGGTCTTGGTCCGAGAAAGCTGAGACGCTCTGTCCTTCCTTTATTCTGAATCGAACTCGCGCACTTCCACCGAAACTGGGTGACTGCGCCCTACTAGATGGGGATTTGTATGCAAAATGTCACTAAAAGCGCCATTTCGTTCTTATAAAAGCACGGATGACCGTGATTGGCCCATATGTTGTAGTCTTTCGGATGCTGAGTCGACTGGTTTTGGTCCGAGAAGGCTGCGATGCAGCATTCGGACCGTTTTTCCAATCGAACATACATGTACTGTCAACTTTGTGTATAACGACACTCGGCGGGGCATCAGAAAAGTGTCCTTAATGGCTTATTCGCGAAGTGTCCTTATATCCGAAGTCTCGTTATTATGTATTACAGTGAGATGAGACTTTGCTCTGGGCATGGAAATTCTGTCGTTATTCGCGAATTGTTGTTATATCCGCAGTCGTTATAAGCGAAGTCGACTGTAGTTGAATATGCGGTCACATCCTCATGCGTGCACAAGTCACCTGGTCACCGTGCCTGCAGGCTATAACTTTCACACCAGGGGTCATTTCGAGTTCAGCTCGAGGGACAGGAAAACGCCCAAACAGCCTGTAAGTTGAGTGTAAGTCAGGAGTGTCTCAGCTTCCTCGGACCAAGACGATTCGACTTAGCGCCCCGAAGACTACAACTGGTGAAAAATCGATTTCGGCTTAACTTCCCCTTTAACCCTTTAAGAGCCACAGGAAAATTTGAAATTTCTGCATTTTTTCGTGTTCCTTGGATCATAGCTTCAGTTCTACTCACTCAATTCTCACAATCTAGGGCTTCCTGGAAAGGTCTCCGCGAGAGGAAGAGAATGAGGTCAATCATGATAGCCAGCACACCGTCTATCCAGCGCTAGATCGCAGCGAGAGTACGAAAAATGCCCCAAATGCGTCCAATTGCGTCCCGCTCCAGATATTTCATTTTACTCGATCGTGGAGTTCCAATTTTTTCGCTGTGTACTCTTGACAATATCAACAGTGAAACCCGTGCAAATTCGAGTAAACCAGCGTGACAAAAAGTCTCAAAATTCTCAATACTAAAGTCGCACTGCGCGCTTTTGAAATTGCCGCGATCGCGGCTCAACTTACGAGTGATTTATCTCAGGAACCGTTGCTCGCAGCGCTTCGCGGATTGTTTCTCCCGACAGGTGAGAGTTTTCTCTTCGCCCTGGATATTTCGATCACTGGATTTGAGCGAGATTGGACTGAGTTACGATCTTTTGAAGTTTCGCATTTGAATGCGTCGTTTACGACGCATTCAAGCATGGGGCGGCTCTTAAAGGGTTAACATTGGTTTTGTATGTAGAATGCACTTTTTCATTTACACGTACAGTTGTGCTTGGTGAAATCCGACCCACAGTGCATATTTGGCGCCCTCTACTTGCACGGCGCTTGACGCGGCCCTGGAAGTGGTACGAATGCTGCATTACTGTGCAGGTACAGTCAGGCGCGTCGGACATGCTAAGGTCACTACGGTTGTGACCGTACCAATCTTTGCCCCCCCCCCTCCCCCCGGATACCCTGTGAATTTTTAAAAGGCACTGATTTGTGCTCTAAATTTTGAGGAGACACCCCAACCCCACATGTAAATCGTACTTCGAGTGGCTGACCGTAGAGTAAAACCCGGTTTAAGCGACCACCCCACGGCGCAAGCAAAAGCGGTCATTTAAGCCAGGTGGTCTTTAGAACCAGGTCCCACAGTGCCTGTGTTGAACTGTCGGTGCATGGAAAAACGGTCATTATGAGCAGGTGGTCGCTAAACCCAGAGGTAGGGATCTCAGCACGTGAACTGCGCAGCCAGTTTGCGCAGGTGAGATTTCAGATCCCAAACGCGTCCAGTGCAGAAACCGTGAAAAAAATTTTTTTCGAAATAAATCAAGTTGAAGAAGACAGAAGAAATGGCTGAATGTTGCGTCCAGGAAAGCACGTTCTACGGCCATCTCCAAGCTACCTATCTCCCAGACACTCTCTCAGAGGAACTATGGAGGGTCAAAGAGCACAATAGTTCACTCTTGGACGCAGCGTGAACACCTCTTCTTCTGAGTGCGATGTCTTCTCTCTGCCAGATAATGGCGACAATGTTCACGATGGCTGATGCACTGAAAATCGAAGTTGGGACAATCTCTAACCGGAGAAACGTCTGAATTTTTCATTGAATCTTCTTTGAAGAAGGTTTTTTCTCACATGGCAAATTATAGGAAAATCGACCGGGGCGATATCGCTTTGGCCACGCTGTCCTCTGGCGGGAATCACGATTGTGTTCGAACGACGATGAAGATGACGATTCCGCTAGTGTCGACCGCTTCCGCTAGTGTCGAAAATCTACCGTCGCCATTTTGTAGCTGTGTCCGCGAGCTGCACTCAAAACTCGATGACGCAGTGTATGCGCAAACACCCTGCGCAGTGCACGCGCTGAGATCCGTACCAGAGGTCGCTAAACCCAGAGGTCGCTAAACCCAAAGGTCGCTAAACCCAAAGGTCGCTAAACCCAGAGGTTTTACTGTAACACCCTAAAATACGTTCCGACGCCTCTTGTTTGTTTGTTTGTATACTTTATTTGAATTCGCTAATCCCTGACAGTGACGTGTTCAGAACTGGTCCAGGACGTCAGTTTTGCGCTTCGGGTCGGACGTCAATGAGCGCAAACTGTATGCTACAGTGTTGTGTGCAGTGTTTATCTGTACATTTATATATTTTTCTCCCCACACTGTTTTCTGCATCGGTATTGCGTATTTGTGTTGAGTGTCTGTGTGCATATGTTCATTAGTGAGCTTCTGCTACACGGAACTACGTATCAAACTCCGTGTCAACTGCAGTGAAGTTTGACACGGATCTTCCGTGCGTTGCGCCGGTTCTGCTGTGCATAGCATGCTCAAACTATGCTCAAACTTCCCGCCACATGTACTCTGTCCGCTCAGTTTTCACACAGAGACCGGTCCGTGTGCAGCGCGCTTTGCATGGAAAACCATATGAAAATTCTGTTTGAAACTTGATCTCGAACCGCGACGAGGTTTCCATTCGTACTTTGGTACGTTTTCCCGTGTAGCAGAGACTCACAATTAGAGAGGTTAAGATGCACGTTATTTCCGACGTGACGCGCAATTTCGCGCCAAATTTGGCGTAAAACTCCAAATTTTGCCGTGAGCTGCAAGTCCTTCGCGTTGTTTTTCGACACGCGAGCCAAATAACGCGAGCTGAACTTTCTCCTCGCGTCAGAAATCACGTGCATCTTAACCTCTCTATTGTCTGTTGTGTATTGCTATCGCGGCGGCTATTGTGCATTTGTTGTTTGTCTGCTGGGTGCCTGTTGTGTCGACGGGCTGTGTGTCTGTGCTGGGTCTGTTGTGCGTGCCTGTGCTGTGTATGCCTGTGCTGTGCGCAACGCGGCTCCGTGTTGCTCACGCGCAGTTCCTCCGCGCCTGCCAGCAGCGGAAACATCATCACTCACCGCAGCAGCCGCATCAGCAGCCACAGCAGCGGGGGCGGTGATGGAGATATCCACCAAGCTGCTATCCAGTGTTGCACTGGTCACCAGCATCCAGGCGCCATCCGATGCCCTCATCACGTGGGACAAGGACGGCGTGACCGTCGCCCGCGGCAACCCTGCCACGGCGACTACATTGCCGGCGGCACCGGGCGTGTACCGGTTGTACAGGCTGTCCGTGGACGCGAGGACCCTGCGGATATGCGCAGCTCAGCGTAGCGATGCGGGTAGATTCCGCGTAACCGTGACGCATCGCCTTGGCAATGCCACGCAAGAGTTCATTCTGGAGGTTCACGGTGAGTTAGGTCCACTGAGAACCGGTACTGGTGGGAGAAGTACACGTCTTAGAACGGTCCAGTGGTCTTACACAAGAGTGAAGAGAGACGCCTGGGGGAGGGGGAGTGGGGGGGGGGGCTGTGTTGCAACCCCGGGTTTTTCTTAGTCACGGTCATCAAACGATTGTATTAGGCCGCGGTCACACCAAACAAGCCGTTTTGAGCTTGTGCTGAAAGTGGCTTGTGCTGAATGAAGCGGTTGGTCACATCGACCCGTATGGCCATATGATCCGCTGGATTTTTTGCGTGCTATTGAGTTTTTTTCTTCGAGTCCATTCTTGAATTTTTATTTTTTTGAATTGTAAATTAATTATATTATCTGTTGAACATGTCACAGTACGTGGCAATCAGCAGAGTTTTTGTACTGTACTAGGAGCTTCATTGGAATCAAGGTGCTTGTTTGAAAGATTGAGGGAGGTTTGTGCTTGTAGTGCAGCCATGTATCCTGAAACTAGACTCCTTGCCGTTGTCTGCATGCTTTTATCGCAAAATAGTCTCCCTTGTCTGACGCTACCGAACAAAATCATCATACCTTGTAGAAAGCGCACAAGGAAAGATGAGGACAATAGGCCAAGTAAAAAAAAAAGATTGTTGATCGTCTGAATTTTCCGAAAAATCTGGGCGGACGGGAGGGGTTTATTTCTATTTTATAACTTTTATGATCTGCATCGACCGGACATCTTGAAATCTTAGCATGTATTACATCTATGGGGTTATGGGTGTACTACCATTGTTGGTTGTGACTGCTACCAGTCTGCCTGGGCACACTCCAAGCACTTTGACGCGGTACGCAGTGGCTGCGCAGTTTCCATGAATGCAGGCGTAGATATCAGGTGGTACACTGTACAGCCTACAGTGCCATGTATTGTAGTTGCCAGATTTCACACAAGTACTTCACTGGAATCACACTGCACTGCGTGATGTCGCTACGGTAAAAGCACGTTGAAGCTGTACATGAGAGCTGTGTACTGCTAAAAAAGTTCGCGTTTCGCTAAACACACGAGTTTTCTACCGTTTATCACGAAAATAAAAAAATTAAAAAAATCCCGGCACGGACTGAAAAATCGGGGCGGGCGATGACGATCAACAATCAATTATTTTTACTTCGCCATAACAGACAGCAGGCAGTGAGACAAGTTGAACCAACAACGAAACAAACAACGAAAGCCGGAATATTTCAGAACACGATGCATCCATGGCAAGATGTGCTTTGGATTTGCACGAATTTGTTTTCCCGAAACTGCGTCAGAGTGGTTGAAAGTGGCTGAATCCATTCAGCGCTCCATTCAGCGTTAAAACGGCTGACTGCTGAAATGGCTGAAGCCGAAAATTCAGCCGTTTCTGTAGCAACAATAACGTCAAAAAGCGCTTTTTCCGCTGAATGGCTGAATCGCGCTTGGTGTGACTGCAGCCTTAAAAGGTCTTATCCATTACACATAAGAACTGTGGCAATGGGATTGAGTATCCCATTACTATAGTTATGTTGATGATCTAGGGAGCCAGTTCTCAAAAGCCCGGCCTACTAGTGCCTGTTCGACGGTTGATTTTCGTTATTCATGAGTTGACTGCAGAGTGTCTCGTTATTCATGAGTTGGCTGCAGAGTGTCTCGTTATTCATGAGTTGGCTGCAGAGTGTCTCGTTATTCATGAGTTGGCTGCAGACTGTCTCGTTATTCATGAATTGGCTGCAGAGTGTCTTGTTATTCATGAGTTGGCTGCAGAGTGTCTCGTTATTCATGAGTTGACTGCAGAGTGTCTCGTTATTCATGAGTTGGCTGCAGAGTGTCTCGTTATTCGTGAGTTGTTTCAATACCCAGCGAGATGGGTATTCATGAGCTTTACTGGGATGGCCTCGCTTCTGCTACTGGGTCTGGGTGCTTGCTTCTGATACTGGGTCTGGGTGCTGGGTGCTTTTTTCTTTTTTTCTTCTTTTTTTTACTAGAGCCACGTAAACCCGTCAGGTGTGAGCCATGAATAAGGGGAGTGGTGGCGTGGTCTGGGATGCTCTGCCGACCTTGGGTCTCGGCTTCATCACAACCAGGCGCGCCAATAGAAGAGAGAGAGAGGGGAGAGGAGAGAGAGAGAGAGAGAGAGAGAGAGAGAGAGAGAGAGAGAGAGAGAGAGAGAGAGAGAGAGAGAGAGAGAGAGAGAGAGAGAGAGAGAGAGAGAGAGAAGAGAGAGAGAAAGAGAGAGAGAGAGAGAGAGAAAGAGAGAGAGAGAGAGAGAGAGGAGAGAGAGAGAGACAGACAGACAGACAGACAGACAGACAGACAGACAGACAGACAGACAGACAGACAGACAGAGCAGAAGACAGAGAGACAGAACAAGAGAGAGCAAGAGAGAGTTAAGAGAGAGAAAGAGAGAGAAAGAGAGAGAGAAAGAGAGAAGAGAGATGAGAGACAGAGAGAGAGAGAGAGAGAGAGAGAGAGAGAGAGAGGAGAGAGAGAGAGAGAGAGAGAGAGAGAGAGAGAGAGAGAGAGAGAGAGAATGAGAGAGAAGAGAGAGAGAGAGAGAGAGAGAGAGAAGAGGAAGAGAGAGAGAGAGAGAAAGAGAGAGACACACAGACAGACAGACAGCTTGCTTCTGATACTGGGTGCTGTGTGCTGTGTGCTTGCTTCTGATACTGAGTGCTGGGTGCTGTGTGCTTGCTTCTGATCATGACCGGGTGTGGGTGTTGTGTGCTTGCTCAGCGGCTGATCCAGCGATCTCTACGGGGGGTTCCAGTATAGTCAAAACTGAATAGCTGATACATGTACACGCATATGGTTGCCAGTGGTACATTTATGAAATTTAGGGGGTTCCGCAGAACCCCTGGAACCCCTCCTGGATCCACCCCTGGTGCTTGTGATACTTGATGTGGGTGTTTTGTGCTTGCCTGTCCCTGTACAGGTCTGGACGGTGCGCAATCCTCCAGCGCCGAGTCACGCCCGTACCTCGTCGGAGTGATCATCGCGGCCGTGGTCGTCGGCATCATGCTCATTGTGCTCGTCCTCGTCGTTGCACTGCTCAACCAACGACGCAGCAGTAGCAAGGGACACAATCTTGATCGCGTTCGTAACGGCGGCCGATGCGGTGGCGGCAGCAATGGTTACTACGGAAACGCGTTGGTGCCGACGGACGGTCATGCCGAGAACGGTGGTGTAATAACTGACCTGGACTCGCAGCAGAGCATGCACAGCGGCGCTGGCGGCGGCGGAGACTGTGCTAACGTATTCCGCAGCACATTGTCATCTTCGTCGTCGTCGGAGTGCAGGCCAAGTGCGCCGCGGCGCATGGAGTCGCTACAGTACCTTGTCGCCGACCCGCACGTGGCCGAGCACAACGTATAGCGCAGACCAGGTGTGCAGTGCAGTGTGCTAGCTGGTATTGTCACTGTTTAGTGTTTACTCCACAATTCTTTGTGGACTGTGGTCAGAGTTCTTTAAATTGTTTTTAAGTCGCACCGCCATTTCTATGATGGCGGTGATGGTTAACATGGGGGTTAACGAGGGGGGGGGGGGGGGGCATAGTGCAAGAGTGCACGATCAACATGCTTGAGCTGTGTGCACGCGACCTGGCCACCAATGTGTGGTTTAGGTGATAAGGGAGCGATCGGGATTCTCCTATCCACGTCCACAGCATGTCGTACTGTTCAGTGGTGATAAGGCTCATTGATACCTATCCGAGGCTCTGCCTGGCTCATAGACCTCTCTGTCTTACTCTCTCTCTCTCTCTCTCTCTCTCTCTCTCTCTCTCTCTCTCTCTCTCTCTCTCTCTCTCTCTCTCTCTCTCTCTCTCTCTCTCTCTCTCTCTCTCTCTCTCTCTCTCTCTCTCTCTCTCTCTCTCCCTCTCTCTCTCTCCCTCCCTCCCTTCAGCACTGCCGCCACTGAGGCTGTGGCCTTGGACACACTTTATAGTAGTTCGTGCTAGATTCTGTAATCAGAGCATGAACCCTGTTCACCTAATGTGCTACATTCTGCCCATGGCATACCTACCACCTCATGTGCTACATTCTACCCATGGCATTGCGTAACCGTGTACAGACTGTTGATGACTCATTGATTGTTAACACATGTGTAATGCATACTAGATCTGCCGAAGTATTTATCCCTGTATTAAATGGCCTGGCTTCTCCAGCATGGCTGGCCTTCAACAACACGTGCAACATGAACCAGTGTTTGTTTGTACAGCCTACTGCATACAGCTGTGTCATTGTGAACACTAATGACGTATTATCACTCCCTTAGTATTGACTTCCATAGATTTTTGCTATACCTAAGCAGTCAAATATTCCTGCATATTTCACTCCTTAGGGCTATATTGACCGCTTATATTTTACTCCTTTTTAGCGATTGAACACATGCTTTGGTTAGTCGTGCTAAATCTAATACCGGTATTGACTGAGTACGAGGTCAATATTGGATACAATAGTAGTAGGTAGGCGGAGCGACACTGTTTATTTTATTCTAGAAAAGTGATTTGTAATGATTCACCGGCCAGATCTTCTACGGTGACAATGGGTGGGCTCTTTGCACACACTGCTCAGTGAAGTACTCGTGTTTGCTGCTCTTTGTATTGAACACTATTCATACAAGAGAGTTATTATTATTATGCACATCCGCGTTGCTGGGGCCCCCATTGGATGGAGGTTGCCCAGGTTCGCATGTGCCAAACTGATTATGCCAACGCCTCATGACGAAAACATACAGAGAGAAACAAATCGTGGGGAAACGAAACAAGAACAGGATTCGTACAAGGAAAAAGGAAGCTGTTAACGATAACAAAAAAATAACAAAAAACAAAAAAACAAAATTCGACGAAGGAGAAATGGAACGGCGGACAGACTACATGAAAATTAATTGAAAACACAAGAGCATGGACAGAGTCAAAGAGAGGACAAGGGGAAGGGTACACTTAAGTAGAATGAGAAGCGAATGGGAGGTGAACAAAAGAGAAACTGGAAAAAGAACCAGCATTCACAGATGACAAATCACGAACGAAGAAGAAGCAGAGAAAACAAAACAGTGAGGACATGGCAAGCTGACCTGCGAGGTGATGGTGGGGGACTCAGGGGGAGAGAGAAGTACAATTTATTATTATTATTATTATTTAGACAAAAGAGAAAGACCAAGGATCTGAGTCCACTATTATGTCTCCTTTATTCACTTCTTTCGAAGGCGATAATCCAGACCCACCGGGAAATATTTTCATGGGTGGGACAGCAAAAATAAAGTGAAAAAAATAAAATAAAAAGCCAAAAACCGAAGGGACAAGAAATAGGGGAAGGAAGAGGAAGAAAGGAAAGAAACTCAATCCAAACTCCAACATCAAAACAATAATAAAGAATTTGCAACGACAGGTATTGTACAAAGACAGGTATTGTACAAATGATAAGGACGTTGATGTTGTTATGGGGATTACAAAGGAAATATCTTTATCAGTCGTTATTCAAGTCTCTTGGCTATTGAACATGAAAACGCAGCAGATGTGCATCTACATGTTAAGGACAGTTCTTAGTCCGAACCTTGGATAGCCTCCTGTTGCACAATAGCCAGGTCTCCTCCCTGCACAGTCCGGAAGCATTGAGGAGTCTCCCCCACCAAGCCTCCCAGTGCACCGACAACCACAGGGACCACGTCAACCTGGGTGAGGGACCAAATTCTGGAAATCTCCCGCTTCAAGTCATAATATTTCGAGCGCTTTTCAGCCATTTTCTTATTGTGTTGTTCTCACCAGGAACGCTGATGTCTATAATGTATGCGATGCGCTCCTTGTCATCAACAAGGAGCAGATCGGCCCTGTTTGCTGATAGTTTCAGGTCAGTTGGGACCGAATACTCCCAATATAGCCGATACCGATCACTTTTGACCAATGCCTTGAGCTGGTGGTCGAATCGTGAAGCACCAGTAGGTCGATCTCGTGCTCTACACATTTCGAAGTGCACATACTTTACTATCCGGTTATGACGTTCGATGTAACTGGTCCGAGCAAGAACTGGGCAGGCACTGACAATGTGGTCAATTGTTTCTAAGCTGCCCTTGCAAAGCCGGCAATTGGCATGAGTTCGAGCAATTGACTTCATTACGGCGCATTGGTAATTTTTCGTTTTGAGGGATTGGTCTTGTGCTGCCATAATCATGCCTTCAGTTGAAGGTTTCAGTGTTCTTGATTTCAGCCACATGAAGGTAAGCTCCTTATCGAGGCGATTTTCCTCCAAGCGGCTCCAATATCTCCCATGCAGCGGCATAGTGGAAAGTGTTTTGGATTTTCGCTCTGCGCACGCTTGTTTATTAATGGTATGCTTATTGGGTAAAGCTGGTCCAGCTGCTGGCAGATCCAAACTCGACAGGAACTTAGCGGCCTTTGCAGTTATTGAGTGGCTTTTTGTTGTAGGTTTTTGTTGATGATACTGATAAAGCAGTCTTATTCGGTCTATTGGGCTGGTACTCATGTAGCGGGCCAGGCCACACATGCTCCGGCCGTGCATATCCTCACAAGAGACCAAGCCCCGGCCTCCATCTCCCCTCTTCATGTAGAGCCTGTTGACTGAGGCTTTGGGGTGGTGAAATCCAGACGCAGTCAAGGCTGATCTTGTCGCTCGATCTGTGGTCTTTATTTCAGCCTCAGTCCAATTTACGATTCCATAACTATAATTATGTCATAACCGGCAGAGCATACGTATTGATGGCCTTGATCATGTTTCTCGCATTCTATCCACTGTTAAGAAGCAAATGTAATCTCTTTTTGGATTCTGCAGTGTGTTGCGTCTTGAGCTGCGGGTGAGGTATCATGGCTGCTTGCACTACTCCAAGGTACTTGTATGTTTCATTGAGTCGTAGTGACTCTGCAATGGTCTCATCGCCAACCTGGATAGAGCATCCTTCATCTGGTTTTCCTCTCCTGACGTGCAGCACGGCACACGAGATTCATGCCGATGTCATCACCAACGCCACACACGGTAGACACGAGGGTAGTCACATCCTTTGTAGTTTTCCCATAGAGTTTAATGTCGTCCATGTACCAAGAGTGATTGATAGTCAACTCGGCGTCTCTGCAGCTGATTCTGTATACCAAAGGCAATCGGTTGAGCTCAAAACTGATTGGGTTTAGCGCCAGGCAAAACAGTAACGGGGATAATGTGTCACCTTGAAATATGCCTCTTCTTATAGATATGTTGCCGGTAGTGACCCTGCATCTTCCCTGGTCGCATATGTGCATTGTCGTTCTCCAGTTCTGCATGCTACGAGCAATAGTTTCGACCAGAGACGGGTGGAATCGATACATCGTCAAAGCATGTAGAATCCATTCATTATTATTATTATTAAATTTTGCATGTTCGCGTTAGAGTCGATCAATGATCCACACTTTCGCTTATGCTGAAAAGAGGAAGAGACACTGCATGGTGACAAACAGAGGTGTCGAACAAAAACAAAAAAATAAAGAGAAGCGTATTTGCATGGATGGTGACGGTGTGATGTACTCTGCCTACTATGTTAGCTAAAACACATGAACAGGAATTCACATTCCGGGTGCTGAGACGTCATTGGCCATCAGCTGAATGTTTCAGTGGTTACAGATAAAAAATAATGATGATATTGCAGTGTTAAGATGATATTGGAGCGATCTGATGATAATATTATTATTAAAATTATTGACGTTGAATCTTTTCGTTGACAAATGGTATTTCTTTCCTAATGTTACTTGAAGATATTACACTTGGCAAATCCTCTTGCAGAGCTGTTGCCATTGAGGGCGATCCTTGGCGATTTCACGCAGATGATCCAAGTCTGACGCATTCGAGAGGCTACCTTGTCCATCCTGAGTGATTGGTGATGTCGGCATGAAGAACAGTTGGCAGTGTAGTGCGAGGGCGACCACGCCATCCACCATTGGCTGCGGCCGTGAAAATAGACATGCATGGCCATTGCTGCTGGAATGGTTGTCTTTCATCATCTGCGTTGCCGAAAAATAATAATAGTAAAATAAAAAATAAATAAAAAATGAACGGCATTATGCAGCTGTGTGAGCAGTAGATGCACAGTGTGACTGCCAGGCATCTCTGTCAGATGCCAACTGGCAATTCTGGTTGTCTTTACCAGTAATTTACTACTCTCTTGGCATGCACTCATACACTGTATATTAGTAATGAGTTACACGTAGTCTAAGACAATGATTTTGGAAGCAGAGGGTACCAGGTTCAAATCCGGATTGGAAGCGGAAGGGTTATTTCAAGCCGAGTTGCGACCCACAGTTGATTCACCGGGGATCTCGTGGCCTGGCACAAGGGAAGCATGGATGGAGCGAATGTTATTTCCTTGTCTTTTGACCACTTTGGTGGTATTATTTATATTATTATTATTGCCAATAACGCTGAGTAATTACACAATGTATAAAAACCAGCATTTGCCAAATGGAAGGAAGAATAAGGAACGAGCGGGAATGAGGTGCTTATACGCATGCAACTGTAGAATAGGGGAAACAGAAACAGTCCTAAAAATAAAAGAACGTTAACAATGGA